ACCTCATACCACCCAGAAAGCAGCACCAGGAGCAGAGCGCATCCTTTGGACCTGGAGTTACTGCTCAGAGAAGCTCCTAGATCAAGGGATGACTGATGACAAGGAACTTCCTCCAGAGCCAACAAAGACAGAAAGCCTTTCCTTAGAGCCGATGCTCTGATTTTAGACTTCCAGCCTCCCAGACTGTGAGAGAGAATAAATTTCTCTTTGTTAAAGCTACCCACTCGTGGTATTTCTGTTATAGCAGCACTAGATACTAAGACAACCTGTATTCCCTCCTTGGAGAATTCCCTACAGTGATACTGTATGAAATGACGTAAGTATCAGGTTATTCACTGCAGCATGAGTGTAATAGCAAGAGACTGGAAACAACCCAAATGACCATCAAAAGGAAAACAAATGACCATACAGTGGAATAGCGTGTGGCTAAGCGAGGAAGGTTTTCATGTACTGATATGGAAAGACTGCCAAAGAACATTAAGTGAAAAGAGCAAGGTACAGAACAGTATGTATAGTATGTGTAAAACGAAGAGGGGGATGAAAAGAAAATCAACAATCATATTTGCTGATACATGTATAAAGCTGTGGCTCTCAAATGGGTGATTATGCCCTCCAGGGAACATCTGACAATGTCTGGAAACATATTTGATTGTCACAACTGGGGTGCTACTGGCATCTAGTGAATAGAGGTCAAGGATGCTGCTAAACACCCTACATTGCAGAGGAAAGCCTCATCACACACACACACAAAAAGTTTTTTGGTCCATAATGTCAATAGTACCAAGGTGGAAAAACCTCAGTATAAAGAAACTCTGGAGGGTTATGCAAGAAACTGAGGGGTGAGTGGCACCTGAGTAAACAGGGAACAAGTGTGAGAGGCTTCACTGTATACCTTTATATGTATGTGTATGTGCAGTTTTATGTTTGGACCTCATGACTATACTACTTATTCAAAACTTAAAGTACCCTTAAAGGGGCACTGCGCTTCTGTTAATGGTGATGGGAAAATTTGGAAATGGACAATAAGGGTTGAACAACATGATAAACATAACTAATGTCACTGAATTATACACATGAAGAATTGCTGAAAAGGCAGACAATCTGTTACATATATATCTAACACAATAAAAAAGATGGTTAAAAAATGCCCTTAAGCTGTGGGGACCATGGTCTCGGGGAACATCTAGCTCAACTGGCATAACACAGCTTATAAAGACAATGCTCTACATTCTACCTTGGTGAGTGAGTAGTGTCTGGGGTCTTAAAAGCCTGTGAGCGGCCATCTAAGATACTCCACTGGTCTCATCCCTTCGGGAGCAAGGGAGAATGGAGAGAACAGGATACAAGGAAAAGATGAGTCCGAAGGACTAGTTGTCCACAGCTACCAAGGCCTCCACCGGACTGAGTCCAGTACAGCTAGATGGTGCCCGGCTACCACCACTGACTGCTCTGACCAGGATCACAACAGAGGGTTCTGGGCAGAGCTGGAGAAGGATGTAGAACATAATTCTATCTCACAAAAAAAGAACAGATTTACTGACCTAAAGGAGACTGGAGAAACCCCGAGAGTATGGCCCCCAGACACCCTTTTAGCTCAGTGGGGAAGTTATCTCCGAGGTTCACCGTTCAGCCTGGGAGTGGACAGCCCCGTAAAACCAAATGAGACTAACGATGTCCAGTAGTCCAGTGACAAGGGCCAGAAGGCAGAAGGGGACAAGGAAGCTGATGATAGGGAACCCAAGGTTGAGGAAGGATATTGTTGATGTGTTGTGAGATTGTTAACCATTGTCATAGGGCAATATTCCTAATAACTGTTAAATGAGAAACTGTTTTGTTCTGTAAGCCTTCATCTTAAGAGAGAATAACTGCACAATTGGAAGAGTGTAGTCAATGTCACTGAACTGTGCATGTAGAAATTTTTGAATTGGTGTATCTTTGGCTATGTGTATTTTCATCAAAAAAAAAAAAAGGTTGAGAAGTTAGAGGGTTGACATGTTGTGGGGTTGTTAACCAATGTCATAAACAATATGTGTACTACTGTTTCATGAGAAACTATTTGTTCCGCAAGCCTTCACCTGAAGTACAATTAAAAAAAAAAAAAATGCCCTTAAGGTTATTACCAGGGCACCAATTATAAATTACATAGCTTTAATTAAAACTTTAAAAAAAAAGACTGGACTTCAGAACACATTTCTCTACAGGAACAGTATTAACTCAGCCTTGAAAACTCCTCCCTTCCCCTCTGTAAGATTCCCCTCCCGGCATGGCCAAGCTCACTGAACGGTTGTCTACAGTCTCTGTGTTTACTTCCCACTCCACCCTCCACCACTGCCATCCTGCCTGGGCCCTCACCATCCACAGGGCTGCTCCTGCCCAAGTCCCAACCCCACTGGCTGCTGCTAAATCAGCCCTGTCTTCCCTCTCCGTTTCCCTCTCTGCATTGACACTGTTGTCCACACTCTGATTTCCCTCCTAAATCCCCAACTACTTCTTCCTCTGTCCAGTCTTTAAATGCTGATGTTTCACTGAGTTCTGCCCTGGTGAGATGGTTGAGGAAGGGCAGGCTCACAAGTTAGAATACCCGAGTTCACAATCTTGGCTCTTCTACCTGATAGCTGTGTGGCCGTGAGCAAGCTACTTGACCTCTCAGTATATATTTTCTTTTCTGTAAAATGGTGGTAATAGTACCTACAGTACCTAGCTACAGTGAGGATTAAATGGGCTAATATGTGTAAAGCTCTTATGTTAGAACAGGGCTCATATATACCAAAAACCAAACTCACAGTGACGCTATAGAACAGAGTAGAACTGTCCCATAGGGTTTCCAAGGATTGGCTCATGGATTCGAACTACTGACCCCTTGGTTAGCAGCCAAGCTCTTAACCACTGCACCACCAGGGCTCCGAGCTTGTATATAGTTATTCAATAAATATTAGTGTTGTAGATGGTTTGCAAAAACGATAGCAGTTATTCCCCTCCCTGTATTCAGACACTTGGCAATATGACTTTACGGTTCCTCCCCATCTGGCAGTGGAATCTATGTCCCACTTTCTGAATCTGGGCTGGCTTTGTGACTTGCTCTGGCTAAGAGAATGTGGCAGAAATGACCAGTGTCATTTCAAACCCAGTGACCTTGCTGGTGATACATGAACAAACCTCGGCTAGCCTGCTGGAGGATGGAGAAGCAGTGCAGTCACCCTGTAACCCCTGCTGACAGCCAGCCCACCCTCAGAAACAGAGCCACACGTAGCAGACTTACAGGAGACCACAGACGTATGAAGGAGCCCTGGTGGCACAGTAGTTAAGTGCTCGGCTGCTAACCGGGAGGTCAGCGGTTCGAACTCAAGAGCAGTTCCACGGAAGAAAGATGTGGCAGTCTGCTTCTGTAAAGATTTACAGCCTTGGAGACCCTATGGGGCAATTCTACTCTGTTCAGGTGAGACCAGAATGGCCAAGCTGTGTGCTAGATGAGAGTCACCAGGTCTACAGTGACTGTTTTGCAGCAACAGCTAATTAATACTATCACTATTAGAAATCATTCTTACATGACACATTTCATCCCAAAGTTCCAGTTATCATCGATATGCTACTACCCTTCTGTATGTCCAAATCCTCCTTGGTCCTCTGGACCCCCAGGTTCTGCTCCCCGCCAGACACCTCCACAGGAACCCCCACTGGACATGTGCTTCAAGGCCAGCCTCATTCCCAAACTCGTCCCTTCTCCTGTGTTGTCAGTGAAAGACACTGCCATCGTACCCAGTCACCAAGGCTAGAAATGTGGAAGATATCCGTGCTGTCTCCTCTCCCTCACCCCCTCCCCGATGGCCAATCAGTAAACAAGTCTCGTTGATCCTACTTTTTCAGTACATCTCAGACTCTGCTCTGCTCCACTGCCTCTACCCTGGTGCAGGCCACCATCACCTCTGAGGTGGACTTCTGCAGTCACCTCCTACCCAGCCTCTCTGACTCTAGCCTACTCCTCCAATCCATTCTCACAGAGCAGTGAAAGTGATCTTTCTACAACAAATCTGACCCTGTCACTCTGCCTAGAAACCTTCCATGACTCCCCACTGCCCTGAGGACAGCTCACGTTTCTCAGCACCGCCACCTGGTACCTGCCTCCTCCTCTGCAGGGAGGGCTCATCTGTCACTATTCCCAGCCCCTTCCCAGCCGTGACAAGTAATCACAGTCCTAAGCAGTTTGCGATGGGCTGCTGACCTAAAGGTTGGCGGTTCGGACCCATCCACTGGCTCCTCGAACTGCTTGCCTGAAGATTACATCCAAGAAAATCCTATGGAGCAGTTCTACTCTGCAACACATGGGGTCGTCATGAGGTGGGGGAGGGGACGATACCATGGCAGCTAATAACTCCTCAACCCCTTTGCTCTTGATTCCCAAGTCTATGCATGGGCCTCCCACCCAGTTCTTCCATCCTGATAAATTGTGATGCATTATGGGGTCTCAGCGCGGATATATATCATTCCTACCAGAAACTCTCCCCGACTTTTCCAGGCTGGGTCTTATGCCCCCAGAGCTCCCTGAACCTTCCCCGTTAAGCCCGTTCCCTTGTCTGGCGTGCCCACCACCGTGTAAGCTGCTCCCGGTGGGGACTTCACTTGGTCCCCCAGTATCCCCAACGCCAGGCCAGGGTGGGTAGGAGGTTCTTAGGAAGCCCTTGCTGCAAGAAGGAATAAATGAACAACTCTAAAAGTCTCTAAGATTCTATCCGCAGTCTCCAAGATTCTGTTCTGGAAGGCCAGTTTCTAAGGTTCTGATTTTACGTTAATTAAAAAGCGCTTCCACTTCTCGGATCCCAAGCTGCTCAAAGTTCTACAAGTTTAACTCCCGCTAGCGAGTCCTTGACTCTTAACCTCCCGGGGAGACTGCGGAGGCCGCCAGCCAAGTCTGGCCGCCAGAGTCCCGCTCGCACTCCCGCGGCTGCATCCTGGGCCGGCGCTAGCCGCCACCCTCGGGACAGCTGGCGTCCCCGGACCCTCACCTGGCCGCCTGCATGAGGGCGCTCCAACCGTAGTGGTTGCGGCTGTTGACCGAGGCGCCACGGCGCAGCAGGAAGCGCACAAGCGGCTCGTGGCCCCCAGCCGCGGCGAACTGGAGCGCCGTGTTGCCCGCCTCGTCCGAG